GTGGAACCAGAACACGGACGTTCCAGTGTGGCGGCGCTTCGAGAAGCTGAGCAAGCAGCTCGACTGGGACGTGCAGGGGCGCTTTGAGCACGTGCCCGAGCAGACGCTGGCCAGCGCAGGCTACCTCGACGTGGTCATCGGCATCCTCGACGGGCTGGCTGGAGAGAAGGACGCCTCTGAGAAGAGGCGAGTGGTCAGAGCTGCTCTGTTTGAGGGCCAAAGGCGCAAGGAGGAGACGCTCTCTCAGTTTGCTGTGCGCCGGGAGCAGGAGTTCATTGGGGCTGACAGGTACCTGAGCATCCCCTCGGAGCTGAAGGCCTTCATCCTGGAGGAGACGGCGGGACTATCACGACAAGGGCTGCAGAACCTGCGGACGTTGACGGGCGGCACCGTTGACTTCGACAAGGTGGTCGGGGCTTTGAAGACGCTCGACGTCGAGGAGGAGCCGCTCACCAAGGGGAAGGGAGGCCTGTTTTCAGGACTTGCCGAGGGCAGTGAACCTGGACAGGGGGCGGCCGAGCCGGAAAGCGACACCGAGGACGACTACGGCGAGCGGGCCGACGCCTTTCTGGCCCAGATCGACGACGTCGACGAGGACACCGCCCTGGAGATGCTGAACGCCTTCGAGAAAGAGGATGCGAAAACCACCGAAAGGCGAAGGACCTGGAAGCAGAACAAGGACCGGAAGGCCGCAGCGAGGAAAGACCGCCGTGTGTTCAGCCGTCCCAGGCTGACGGTGGGCGACTTGAAGGAGTGCACTCGGTGCGCAAACTGCGGCGGGAGAGGCCACTGGAGAGCTGAGTGCAAAAAGCCGTTTCGTTCCAAGGAAGAGCGGGGCCGAGCCGAAGGGAAAGGAATGGACAGCGGGCGCCGGGCCGTGGCGTTCGTCTACCTTGGCGCCGAGGACAACGACGAGGCCGGGAACACGTTCGTGGGCCTGGCGGTCGGCCGGCTACGTGTGGAAGGGAGTCGCCGATTGGAGCACCAGGTGGCCAAGAACCACACCGAGGAGGCGCCGCACCCCAGGACCAACGGCACGATCAGGCACCACGCGGCCCAGGACACCCTCGAGAAAACGATTCACCCGAAGGACCGCGACGCGATCAGGCACCAGACGGCCCAGGACTTGCCCAAGGGAGCGATTCACCCAAAGGACCGCGACGCGATCAGGCACCAGACGGCCCAGGACGAGCCCGAGGAAGCGATTCACCAGAAGACCGCCGGCAGCAGTGGGCAACTCAGCTTGGCCGCGGAGGGCAACACTTTGTGCCTGCTGGCACTCGAGCCCGGACACGCCATTCTTGACATTGGCGCGGCCCAGGACCTCATCGGCAAGGAGGCGTTCGACAGACTGTCAGAGCGGCTGCGGGAGCAAGGGCTCAGGAGCTTGAAGCTGAGCACGTCGCCGCCGACGGCACACGGGGTGGGCGGGAAGGCCACACCTCTCTTCCAGGCGCTCATTCCTTGCATCCTGGCTGGGGTGCCTGGCGTGGTGCGGGTCACGGTGATCAAGGAGAGCATCCCGCACCTGCTCTCGGTGGGGCTTCTGGAATCGACTGGGGCGGCCATCGACATGAGGCGCAACACGGTGAACTACCAGGAGCTGGGCGTGAGCGAGCAGATGCAGCGGCTGAGGTCGGGACACAGGGTTGTAGACATCGCTTCGTGGCGTGGCGGCGATTTTCCCACACCGCCCCACCTCAAGGAGGAGTTCGGTCTCACCAACGGGGCCTTCAATCTTGGCGCACCTTTGACCGGGAAGGCGGTGGCTGTATACATGCTTGTTGGGGGTCGTGGGGAAGAGCAGTCGACAGGAGAAGCCGGCACGCAGCATGATTCACACGTCGCATGCGCATGTTGTCCTGACCGAGAAGTGTACCATGAACACGGGGGTGAAGCAGCTCATGCAGGGCTTGATGCTGATGACGCGTGCGTGCCGGAGCCCTTTGCTCGAGGCGACCGTAAGCCTCCCTATGCTGAGCGGATAGCCTCACATGGAGAGCGACCCCGAGCACAAGTGGAAGAAGATCGTGAGCAAGATGCTATGCCACCGAGTCACCAGCCAGAAGCCCGTGACCGAGCAGGAGTGCGGACACCCCGCCGATTCCAGAGTCAATGGGGCAAATCAATATGGCTCCTGGCAGCGCTGTCTGCTATGTCAGACAAAGATCAGCTATGTGCCCCACCGAGCGCGGCCGAAAAAGAAAGCTGGCAAGGCACAGGTGGCGTACGTGAGCGAGCCGCCACCGGTTGCAATGATGAGGGCGCAGCCGGCTTCGAGCAGTGGGTCTGGGGAGCGGGCCACCGAGGTGATTGCCGCGCTGGGCAAGGTCATGGCCGAGAACACCCACCAGCTGCAGGTTGCCATGGCACAGTGCAACCAGCAGGTGCTGCACGGCATGGCCCAGAGCAACCAGGAGGTCATGTCCTCGATGGGCACCATGGTGCAGACGATGCAGGCCATGCAGGTCACTCAGCAAAGCATGGTGCAGGAAGTGCGGCAGGTGGCGGGCGGAACGGCCGCCATAGCACAGGCCGCTGGGCTGATGATGCCGGCCGCGGCAATGACCTCGAGTCCGGGGTCCATGGACGGCGTAGCACCCACCAACCCGGAGGCGCTGAGTCCACAGTGGAGTTCCGAGCAGACGGCGGCGATGTGGCAAGCCATGGGCAGACCACCGCAATGAGCAGCGGGGAGGCGAAGAACTACGCCGCGAACGCCGACGAGCTGGACGAGCCGATCCACCCCAAGAACGCGAAGACGAGGCACCAGGAGGCCCAGGCGCAGCCGGCGACCAAGGAGCACCACGTGACGAACGCCGGCAAGGTGAACGTGCCGATTCACCCCAAGAACGCGGAGACGAGACACCGAGGCCCACTCAGGCTGCGCCGAGAGATTGGCTTGCAGCTGGTCCGAGCTGCGGGCAACACGTTCTTTGTGGGCCGGGGTCGGTCTTCCTTGAGGTCTGTGCCGAGCACCTTCGCGGAAGGAGGAGGTCAGCTAAGATGCGCTCGGCAGGCAGACGGGCCAGGCAGAGTCAACCTTGTGGAGTGGGAGCTGCCAGGCCTAGGGGCACACCTCGACAACTTGGATCTCGAGGCCGAGCCGGACCAGGACCTTTGCAGCAAGGAGAAGAAGAAGATCCGGAGAGCGATGCGCAACCTAGCCGGGGAACTTGGAGGACACCGGCACCCTAGGAAGCCGCTGGTCTTTGTGGTTCACGACGGCGGCGGCGAGGAACGAGACCAAGTATGGAGAACGACGGGGGCCGAGGTGATCGAGTTTAACCACGGTTGCCGGTGGGACTTCAGCAAGGGAACGCGCAGGGAGGCCTTCGTCAACCTCGTCCGGAAGTTCAACCCAGACCTCCTCATGATCGAGCCGGGGGTCGCACGGGGCCGGCGAAACGCCGAGCAAGACCTGAGAGAGAGAGTGCGGCAAAGGGTGGTGAACTGCTTTTGCCACCGGCTGTGCAAGGAGCGGATCGGCAACGGCAGGGCGACCATGTGGGTAGAGCACAACCTGGAACACGACTTCGAGAAGGAGGAGAAGGAGGCCCTTGAGTACCAGGGGGCCGTCTTCTGTGGCGACCACGCCGGGGACCAGGTCGTGCTCACCAACAGCCCGGGCATCTACCTCACGGCGCGCCCTGGAGATGCCCCCAGCAGCCGACTTGCCCAAGCAGTTCAAGGCTTGAGCGCCGATAACGCCGACTTCGCCGAGCACGACCCGGAGAACGACAACGACGAGGACGCCCAGGAGGCCGACGAGGAGGAGGACGCAAGGGGAGTTGGAGACTTTCCACCTCAAGAAGATGACGGCGAAGAACTTGGGCAACAGGGCCACCGAGAGAGAGAAGTGGCCAGGCTGATCGAGAAGCTGCACGTGAACATGGGTCACTTGTCAAGAGACCGCATGGTGGTGATGCTGCATGCGGCCGGAGCAAGGGAAGATGTTTTGGAGTTCGTGCGCAAGCGCTTTGGCTGCGAGCTGTGCGACCGCAGACAGAGGGAGGTGCGGCGAAGAGTGGCTGCATTTCCGAGGACGTTCACCTTCAATCGCATCGTGGCAGTGGACACCTTCTACCTGCCGTGGCGCGGCCGGTCCCTTCCGGTGCTGAACGTCGTCGACCACGGCTCCCACTACCAGGTGACGACGCTCATCAAGACCACCGAGGGGAAGGAGCAGGAGCACCCAGGCGGTACACCAAGCTCCGAGGAAGCCTGGAAGATCTTCAACGAGTGCTGGATCCGGCCCTTTGGGGCCCCCGAGGTCGTCTTGAGCGATGGTGGCACCGAGTTTGCCAAGGACTTCGTCACCGGTCTAGAGCTTCACTCTGTGTTTCACCATGTCGTAGATGCCGACAGCCCGTGGCAGAATGGAGTCGCTGAGAGGCACGGGGGGGAAATCAAGCGTCGAGTCTTGCGAGAACTAGCCGAAGGGAACACCGTGCTCACCAGCACGGAGGGCATCGACCTCATGCTGTGCCACCTCACCGCTTGCAAGAACCAGTTCTATTCCAGAGCTGGGTATTCCCCAGCACAGCTTGTGTTCGGGAGGAACCCGAGGGTTCCAGAAGAGCTGCTGTCGGACCTAGTGGCCAGTGCACCGGGGAGACAGGCAATGGCCAGTGACCCCACCAACCTTGAGGGGAGCGAGAGGGCCTACGTGCAGAGCTGCATCATTCGCCAGAGGGCCAGGGAACTGATGTTCGAGAAAGTATCTCAGGAACGGCTGCAACGTGCGGCCAAAGCTCCGAGGCACAGCTATCAGCAGTATGCTCCAGGCCAATGGGTCTACGTCTTTCGGCGCTCCCCCCAGAGAGCGCGCTGGTCGGGGCCAGGCTTGGTGCTGCTCCATCAGGGGACTACCATCTGGATTGCGATGCGCGCCAGGTTGTGGAAATGTAACGTGGACCAAGTGAGGCCCGCGAACAGCACGGAGGCGCTCGGTGTCGAAATCATGAATTCGATGCAGTACCGAGAGCTTCTCCGGAACCTGGAGGGGAAAAGAGCTGGAGCGGTCGATGTGGCGAAAGAAGGGACACCGCCCGAGGACGCATGGGAGGAGCCGCGCGAGGAGGAGGCGCCGGTCACGCTTCCCCCGGCAGCTGAGGCCGAACCAGAAGGCGAGCTGGGCACACCTGGTGGTCGTGGCCACCCTGGGGCGACGGAGGGCGAGGAGAGAGAGGCGATCATGCCGGGAAGGGTCTCCATTCAAAGCACAACGGCCCCGAGCGAAGGAAGCATTTCGCTGGAGGAGCCGGAGCCGAAGCGACATCGCAGCCTCGAGGACTCGAGGAGCGACTGGACCCGATCGTGGAGGAGGAGCTGCCCAGAGCCGCAGAGCAGGCGGCGGCACGGGCACGAGCAGTGGACACCAGTCCTGTGCCACCCCTCCCCGCTCGGGAGGAGAACGCTGCAAGGAGAAGGTCTCGGTCACCTGTGCCACCAACTCAGCGGGCCAACCTGGAACGCGCCCAGGCCGAGCACCTCGACGAGATGCGTCGCACGGCGGAGGACGGCACAACCACTGACGAGCCGGACCTCCACGGCTTGGGCCTCGACGAGCGCACCCTCGCGGACCTGGCGGGCGTCAAGAGCGCTGAGCGAGAAAGGCAGCGCCTGGACCAGGAGAAGGTGACGCCCTACACGTTCGAGGCAGGGGAACAAGGACTGCCGCGGGTGTTTGTGGCAGGCCGGGGAGACGAGTTCAACATGAAGCGGGCCACCGAGGAGGAGAAGGAGGGCTTCAAGGTCTCCGACCACACCGAGTGGACCAACGTGGTCGGGATGGGCGCGGTAAAGGTGTGGAAGGGAGAGGACGCAAGGGAGCTGCGCAGGCAGTTCGCAGGCCGGATCTTGCGAAGCAGAATGGTGCGGCGCAAGAAGCCGATGCCCGGGGTCGGGTGCTTCAAGTACAAATCCCGATGGTGTGTGCTTGGGTTCGACGACCCCGACGCAGCAGACCTCAGAACCTTCTCACCGACACCGCAGGCAGAGGTCATCAACGTTTTCTTCCAGACTGCCTTGAACCTCGGCCTGAGCGTGGTCTTTGGAGACGTCACTTCGGCGTTTTGCCAAGGGCGAAAGCTGGCGAGAACGGCCGGAAGACTCTTCGCCGAGCCGTGTCCCGGCATTGACGCTGAGGCCACCGACCTGGTGGAGCTGCTGGTGGCCGTGTACGGGCTCGAGGACGCCCCAGTGTGCTGGGCGGAGACAGTCCAGGAATACTTGTGCGGCGAGTTGGGCTTCCGGAAGTCGCTGCTAGACCCGTGCCTCTATGTGAGGCAGAACATGGAGCAGCCGATCGAGAAGCGGCTGGAGGCCATGATCCTTGTCGAGGTGGACGACTTCAACGTGGCGGCGCAACCGGAGTTCGAGCAGGGCCTCCTCGACAGCCTCCGCGGCAAGTTCAAGTTTGGGAAGTGGCTTCGCAACGAGGCAGACTTCAACGGAAGACACGTGAGGGTGACCGAGAACGACGTCTACATGCACCAGGAAAAGTACGTGATGGAGAAGGTCAAGGCCCTTGAGCTCAGCAAGAACCGCCGCGCCCAGAAGGACAGCCCGCTCAACGAGAAGGAAGCCGAAGAGTTCCGCTCCATGCTGTATCGCATAAGCTGGCTGGCACACCAGACCAGGCCAGAAGCAGCCGGGCTCACGAGCATCCTCAGCTCGCGCTTGAACCGGGCCACCGTGTCGGACCTCATCACGTTGAACAAGATGGTCGGGCACCTGAGGTCGACCCCAAGGCAGGGCATAAGACTGCGCCGGTTCCGGCCCGGGGAAATGTGCTTCGTGGGCGTGAGTGACGCCGGTGGGGTCGACGGCCTCTCCGACGGGAACGGCGCGGACGGCATGATCGAGGACCCTGTCCAGGCTTCGTGGCTGGTGCTGGCGAGCGACAAGGTGCCGACGCACGACGAGCACCTGCGAGTGTCGGTGCTCTCCTGGAGGTCCACGAAGCTCAAGAGGCGGGTCACAAGCACGCTGGCCTCGGAGACGCTGGCCTTCTCCCAGTGCCTCGGGGAGATAGAGTGGATGCAGGTGCTCTACCGAGACATTACCTTCGGAGATGTCACGCCGGAGGCTTGGAGACAGGTGATTCGACCATTCCCCTGCCTCCTCAAGAGCGGTAGCTCACTGGCGGGGCGACAGGAACAGTGCGGCATCACCGACGCGAAGTCATTGTATGATGCGCTGGTGAAGGCCCACCCGGCAAGTCGCCAGGACAGAAGGAACGCCTTGGAGCTGGCAGCCATCATCGACGCGATGAACAAGGGAGGCGGAGTGGTGCGATGGACGTCGCACCAGAGGATGGTCGCCGATATGCTCACCAAGGCAGACATCGGCAGAGGCAACGGAGCCCTACTACACCTTCTGAGGACCGGGGTGCTGCACATAGATGATGAAGCAAGCGAGCTCAAGAGACGCCACGGTGCTGAAGGCAAGGCCCGCACACGTGCGGCCACAGAGCGTTTGCTTGATCGGGAAGAGGCTGAAGAGCGACAAGAGCTAAGCCTCTTTGCTCTAAGTGCAGCCAGCAAGGTCAGCTTAGTTTTGGGGAAGCTGTTAAACTTACCCAGCACATTACCATTTAGTGGTGTGCGAGAGCCCAGCTGTGATCACTCCTGACCTTGTGGCGATTCCTCTCGAGAGCGCGTGGGCAGAGCTGCCCCTGTAGTTGCTGCAGCCAAAAGGCATGTGCTTCTGATCATCCACCTGTGTCTTGCGTCACAACGCTGCTGCCGATGCTGCTGCCAGCTCGAGAAGATGGGGGGAAGGCTCGACTGCTTAAGATAGACGTGATGTTGGCGCCCGGATGTCCGGCAAGTACGCGGATGCCACCAGCCTGGAACCCATGATGCTACAGCCGTTTAGTTTTCTTCGGCTGAATGCTACATTGGACATTTGTGTTGAGTGGTATGCATATAAAGGAAAGGCTGTACTCTGCAGAGCTTGCCAATTGAACACTTCATGCAGAGACCTACTGGCAGAAGGGTTTCTGGAAGACGAGCTTCCACGAGTGGGCACTGGTACGTTGTGTGACATTTTTCGCAGGTGAGTCGAAATGTTCTTCCTGACCTGAAGCTGGCCATTCAGGAGCTCAGAAACACATTGTCTACATTCTGTGCACATTCCGCCACGCCTCTTGACGGGGATGCGCAGCCCGTGCCCCTCAGCCCCTCAGGAGAAGGAGCCGAATCTGGCCGTGAGCCTGCGGCACGCTTAATGACTGCTCGACCGATACTTCTTTTAGGGACCATGCAAATCTTAGTTACCTTGCATGAGGCTTGGCATTGTCAAGGAGTGGGTCTCGAACATGAAGAAGGACAGTCTCTGAGAATGTTGCCTGAGTGCATGGTTCTTGACAGACTGAAAACAGGACGGTGAGCAGATACAGCAGCAGTACAGCTTTCTGCAGCAGGAGCTGGGATGCTGAATGTCGCTAAATGGCAGGTTTTTTGCCCATGCAGACCTCTGAAAACGGTCTTTGTCCTGCCAGTCGGTGCAAAGTATCATTCTTACCGCTCAACGAGCGAAGAGTGACTCGGATATGTTTGAGATAAGCGCGGCACAATTGAGGAGGTATGCTGAGCTTGCAGTCGGCAGAAGTGCAATTCCCGCGAGGCAACGCTGACAGGCGGCTTGCTGAATCATTGCAGGAGCAGGAAGGGACGGAGCGAGACCCCAGAGTTCTTCAGCGAACTTCGTGGAAACACAGGTCGCCGACTTCGACGGCGAACCATTGCTTGGCGGAGGCGCTCTTCCTCTCGAAGGCCTGCGCTTCCCAAGCAGAAAATGCCTAAATGCAGCTTGCAAAAGATTCTAGAGGAGCTCGCGAGGAGAAGAGAACTGGCGGAGGCCCCTGGATGAGTCTTGAAGAGATGTGTGGTGGGTTCCGACGCAGCAGGGGCGGGGAGAACACTCGCAACTTGCAGTGTCTTGAGCTCGGCCAGTTCTTGGCGACGAGAATGTCGGCCAACAGCCTCCTGAAGTCATCATGGCCGGAGGCGTCAAAGCTTGGCTTCTGTTGCAGTGCGTTGTGCTTCGAAGACGCAGGCAGCTCCATACCGCAGTCCTTCGCACCTGCAGCTTCTCCAGCGAGCGGTGTGGGACCCAATCGGCCTCCCGTCAGGCTTGACACGCGATTTCAGAGAGGGTCTGAGCACAAAAGTCGACAGGTGACAGTGCTCCGACAACCTTGAGCGTGCCGCTACTTGGAAAAAAAAGCTTGGGATCCACGAATGGAAGTTGCAGACGGCTAGAGTTTCCGGCTTTCGGTCCGGTCCGTTAGCCCAATCTATCTCAAAGCAAACCCATACTCGTCTTGGCCTCCATTGGTACCTGGACGACCTCAGGCTCAGCATGAACGTCTGGACGAGGCCGGACGCCCTCGGAAATCCATCAGAGAGAGAACCCCCGGGTTATAGGTCCCCCAAAGTGGGTTATAGTTTTTAGTTACCCTACTTATAAGATCCCATTATAAACTACCCCGTCTGCGTATCGTGGGGGCAGAGGCATCTCTTTGACCAGCTCTCCGCCTTACCCGAGGAAGGGCCGGGCCCGGGGCCAAGCTGCCCCCTCCCTCCATTAGCGATGGCAGATTATACTGTATTATATTTTGTTTGTTGGATGTCCCTGTCCAAGGCAAAAGGCCGGGTCGCGCAGGACCGGGTCCTCGGGTAGACAGTAGTTAGGCCCTCAAATCAAGAAGTGAGACATGCTCAAACTCAAGCGCGTGCCTGAATACCATGCCTGATGACATCAAGCAAAAGGGAGGCTCGGAGGACCTGGTCTTTGAGGCACCATCAAAGACAAAGAGCTTCTCGAGTTAAGCTAAGAGGGCCGTACCATCCAGGATTCGGCGATGCCAGCCCGCCACTGGCAGATAACCTGCAGGTCAGCACCACGGTGTGGTTTGCTTCCAGCGGTGTCTTGTTTTTCGCACCCTCCGTATCCCTTTCGCACTTGATCTATAGGAATGGAAGTCGGACGTGCTGGACTTGCTGTTCATGGCAGGATGCCCAACTCCAAGAAAGTTGCACGGCATAGGAGTTGCCAAGCCCTGAGGCACCAGGTGTGGGGCGAAACACGCTGCCGAAACCTGCTCCTTTTCAGCCTCCTCAGGCTGGCGTACGCATCAAATTGCCCGGTTCCACTATAACATGTGCTGTGTGCGCTGGAACCCGCAGGCTTTGCCACGAGTGGACTCTTCTCATGAGGCGCGCTTTCTTGGGCCCGATTCTCCAACCCCAGCGTGCAGATCCGGGTGCAAATTTGAGTCAGGGATCTAAAATCAGCCGAGGCTGACCAGAGCCTGGGGTCCAGTCGATCGAGAGGTGCATCTGGCAGAGGTTGAACTCCGTGCTTTCTCTTTCGATTCGGTCGCAGGTCATGCTGACAGCTCCGTCGAGGCACATGGTGCTGAACGCTTTCATTACGTATGTAAGATTGCGAGTCTATGTGTCTTCAGTAGTTGGAAAAATCACGGACAGAGATCTACATACCCTGTCGTGAAGTCAAAACAATAGTTAGCGCTTTCTATTTGGAAATGGAGGCGTCACGCAACTAGGGCTGTGTTTTCTGCTTGTTGGCGCTAGCTACTAGCATTGCGCTAGCCTGGCACTACAGTAGCACTTTGTCAGGAGGTGTACTGTACTGACTATCCAACCCTATTATGCAGGACACTCAGCGTCCGTCGGTCTGTCGGTCGCTTGGTCGGTCGTTATGTTTGTTTATGTCTGCCGGCGCGCACGTCCTTTGCATGTTTGAGTATGTGCACGCGTGGTTGGATGATCGGTTGTTTGGTTTTGCGCAGCAGTGCTTTAGTTAATTTAGCTACTCGTACTCGGACTGAGAGATCATCGCAGGTGCGCTGATAAGTCTTGAGCTCTTGAACACAAGTCGCCGATAAAAGATAGCTTAAGGCGCGGCACCTTAGGTTCAAAACAGAGCTTACAACAAATTAGCAGGCGTGTCAGATCTGAGATCAGGGCACGTGAAAGCTGCCGCAGAAGCAGGCTGTCGTTTCTCTTGGGTCTGCGATGGGTACTTTCCTTTGGGCGGTGCTTTCTCAAGGGGGTTCAAGGGCACCTCTGTTCCGTCCCGAAAAAAGCGTGGGTCTTAAACCACACAGACCTCACCCCAAGCCCGAACGCTCTGAACTGACCCAAAGCCGACCATGCAAACGTGGAGCCCGAAGGCCTGGATCTACATCTACCCGTATGCTTTCACATCATCTCAAAGCCAAGTGCAGATTGCTTCAGATGCAGTCCTGCAGAAATCGGTGGGTAAGTTCTGACCCAAGAAAAGCCAATAATGCAGACCAGAGCCAACACTTCTCTGTTTTCCTGTCCTTTGCTTAACTAAAAAGCCGGGATGAGCGGAAGAGTGCCTGGGACTTCTGACAAAAATTCAGGAGTTGGGTGCTTGTGTTTTGCCTGTCCGAGTTGGTGATGGTATGTAGATGATCAACCTTATGCTCCACCGCAAATACCAAAGAAATCGTGTCCAAATAGAATCCAAATGGCATGGAGGGTGGCACGAGGCTCCGGCGCTTGTAACCTCCAGGGTAGAAATCGGCCAAAAGCATGATGCAGAGAAGAACAGCAGCATTAGGATTGCGATGCCATTGGAAAGGAAAGGCAAAAGCTGACACTGGATCCAAGTGAACCGAATCAGACTGTTGAGTCTTTCTCAGTCAAGCGGCTTGCCTGAGAGCCGACGGCAAGGGTTTCAGCCCTTGGAAAACTGAGCCGAAAAATCCCACTGTGGGTGACAAGCATCTTCATGTTGCTACGGTGAGGTCCGGTATTTGCATCCAAGTGCCTGTCTCTTCCCTTCCGTTGCAACCAACTCGCTGTGATGAACAGGAGGTGAACATGGAGGCAGGTGGATGCTCGAGTTGCAGCCATGGGAGGCCGAACAATGGTTTTCTGCATTCATTTTACGAGCAGGATGCGCAAGCAGACGTCACGAATGCCAATGCAATCGTTCAGTACAATCTTTGTGAGAACGAGAAAGCTGGGCTCTCAGCCCAGGATGCCGCAGCCGCAAGTTGTTGAAAGAAAAGGATGGCCCGAAAGCTCCATGCATCGCAGCGTAATACGGCAGTGACCGTATTGGCTGAGGACTTTGTCCAAAACACCTCCGGCTGCCTCCTTCGAGCTTTGCGAGAGCTGAAGCGAGTCGACGAGATCCTTCAGGTGCCCAAAGGCCTTGACATCGTGTTTTGCTGTTGTCTTGGGCCGCAGGGATGCTCAGCTTTTTGGGCCAATATGGACGGCACTGTACAGAAGCTTGCCCAGATGAAGGACCAATGTCTGCTCGAAATTGCCGAATGTGACTGCCTGTGACGTGATGTCACATCGCAGGAGCACACTGAATGCCTCGTCAACTATGCGAACAGCAGCAGGCTCTTGAAGGTGCTTTGCGGACACCTGTGTTTCGCCAACGCCAATGTAAGAAAAGACAGCTTAGCCTCTTTTGGTGCATTGTCCGCCTTGTTCTTGCCATGCCTGCTGAAAGGAGAGATTCGATCAGCGACTTGCCGAATACACGACCTTCTGGACATCCCTTGAACGACTATGCAGGTCCTTCTTCAGCTGCTGTGTCAGATTTGCAATCTTGCAAGATTCCAAGAGGCAATACTGCATAGACTACCAGACGTTTTGCAAAAAGATGCAAGACACCATTCGAGACGCGCGGGTACCCGGTGGGATGTGGGCAAGATTAGTTCACAAGCACCTAAAAGTGTAATCTCCCTAGGTCTCCGATACGGCTGATGTCTATGACACAGCTCAGAGCGTTCGGCACGCGGCTCAAATAAAGATGGGATGCAGCTTTGCAGCTTAAGCATAAACTGTCGGGATGCGTTGGTTTTTGGACCATCTCGTCGACAGGATGGGCGTGGCTAACGGCTACCGAGAAAAGGCGATGAGGACATCAGCCATCCCAAGCATTGCGCAGTACTACCTGCTCGCACAGTCTCTGCAGGAGTGGTGGCTATGTTGTGCAGTGACAGGATCAACATTTGCATGTGTTCAGCAGCTCCGTCTACCAGAGTTTTCCAACGGCTTCACGTACCAATGAGAGTACGATGAAGCTTGCCGTCCTGGCAGATCGTCGTGCGCAAGTGTTGCCACACTTGTGCTTATCCTGGGGGCATCGTGGACTCTACTCGTAGACGAGATTCAATATCACCCACTTAAAGCTGCGTCGCACGCAAACAGATTCGCTCAACCTTTGCAGGGGAGCACTGGAACAGCAGCGCGGAAAGTGCCCGGACAGCGTGCAATGAAGCAACTGAAGCAACGCAATTGAGAACAGATTCCAAGGTTCCAACCTGCAGAAGGCAGATGCATGTGCCACAATTTGGCAGGCTGACTTGCTCCGGTTGTCAATTCCTACAGTACCCTGCATCCTGCCAAAAACAGGCTTGCGGTCCGTCTGCCTGCCCGCTGATTCCTCTCTCGTGTGACAGGGCTCAGGTGTTGATGTACAGCCAACGGAACACACTCCAGTGTCTCCGGCTCGAGCAACCTGCAGCGTTGTCGGAGATTTATGTCAGTCCTTTCTGGCAGATGGCCTCTGCACAGTTGAGGCTTCTAGAAGGGACAGGTGCTTTGTAGCTTAACTCACATGTGCTTTGAGGTGGTTCCTCGTGGCCAGCCTGCGCAGCACTTAGCCCAAGCGAGCTTGGTGAAACTTCCCAGCTCTCAGCTGGATGCGCATAGGCACATTGTGGCGACAGCCGTGGCCGTGGAGTCGCAGGCTGTTGTCGTTTTGGCATGTTCTAGCCAGAAATTCCGAGCAAATTCCTTAACAAGAGTGGCAACTTCGTGGAAGGCAGTACAAGTGCAGCCCGGAGGTGTCCGCTTCTCATCTGGAAGACATGCATTCTGCTTTGCAGAGCTTTCTTTCGGTAAGGCTGTGCTTCTGCGGACAGAGAGGAGCGAGACGAACCAGCCCATAGCCACCTGCAAAGGCCAGTTTGCAGGACTGCTGGGACGTTGTTCGCACACTCTTGCACTCCTACAAAACCAGCGGTGTCTCAAGGCCTTCTTCACATTGCCCTGCCTTAGGACACTGCGAGTCCTTTCTGAAAGATGAATCTCGCTGTCGCTCGGCCTATGCCTCCTGGCCTGTTGAGTGAACTCTTAAACGACTTCCCGGCCCTTCAGTGAAGACCCTGTCCAGGCCCACTGCGAGGCCAAGACTTGCCTGCAGTGTGCCTTTGCTGAAGGCAGATGCGAAGGACCGGGCTTCGCAAGCAGCTCGGCATGAAGTTCATACTTGCCATGCGAGTGAGTCTTGTCTTTTACGTTTGAGGTACATGCTACGCGCCTGGAGGCGCCTAGTCAGCGCGGACGAACACTGCCACAATGTGCTCGCTCTGGTACGTCGCGGAAACAACGAGTATGCCAGCTTGACTTCCTGCAGTTTATCTGCTGCTACCAGAAGGGGAGCAGGGCTAGGATCCAGGCGGCATGCCATGTTGCAGAGAAATCCGTTTCGTTTGCTGACGGCTTGCTGGCTGCACAGGAAGGATACCATGCTCAGCAAAGATCACCAACACAGTAGCAGTCCTCGGGCAGTAAAAAGCCATGCTAATCGGACAACTCCCATGCTCCGGAATCCTGGTTCGGGCCGGCTGCCGTCGGTTGTAAACCCCGACATCCGGGAGCAACCCTTCCTGCGGATCGAACTTTGCCGGCAGGATGCGTTTGTAAGGGTTCAGGATCGGAATGCATGGTCAATGGCTGTCCCTTGCGCAGCTTAGACGCTAGCGTTACCGTTCTCCTGTTTTTTCCAGCAAGCATTGGGGTACCTAGATCCCGCGAATGGCACCTGCTTCATATGGCTTGGATGCGCTGGGAGCACTTCCTTTGCAGCCCGTTCAGACCGGTGCCATGGCATCGAAGTTACGGCGCAGAACTTCGGAAGTATGCTTGAGCTCCTTTGCGAAGCATGTCACTCTACTAGCATAATGCACCAGGCTTCTTCTCTTTCGATCCGGAAGTATGGGCCCTAGCAGTCAGTTCCGGCCAGGGGACAGACCAGCCCCGGCCTTCAGAGGGGTGCACCCTTCGATTTGTGCAACATCGGGTTGAGTCTGGGCGCCTGGTGCGCACAGGGCCTGAACGCTAGGAAAAAGCTCGGCATGTGACCTGGTGCTGAGAAGCTGCTATGTGCTGGCGGCGGTCCCTGGTACGACTGCAGTTTCCTCCTCAAGCATCCGGCGCTTATGTCGAACAGGCTTGCAGTGCATGTTTCACAGAGCGCGAGATGCGAGATGTGGCATTCCGATGGAACACTAAGGGCTGAACAAGTGGGCATGATTCTCAGCCGGTGTGGCCTGATGTTGAACTCGCCACTCACAGACAGAGACACACACACACACACAAACACAACTCGCTTTCCAAGGGCGACCACGTTGTCGCATGTGAAAAGTGGTGTGGCATGCCGCCCCTCATACCACTCTTTTGGTTGAAGTCAGCACGGTCCTCAGTTTATTCATGTCTGCAACACCTCCACTAGTGCTCGGCTGGTGGCACGTTTTTCTCCAGCCCAGATGTTTACCGATTGCAAGTTCACCAACATGCATCCAGATGACGACGGCCACTTGGTGCTTATAGCCCAGTCGACACTTTTTCCAGCCCCGCTACTTAGATTGCGAGTTGCTAGTGGCCAGGCTTCTTCAAGTTGCCATTGCGCGCTGCCCAGCACCAGACACTGGATCGAGCATGTCCGGTTGTAGAAAACGGCGACCCAGTCCGGACATTGGTGGCTTGATCAAAGCGAAGATGGCGCTCCTGAGCCCTCTGAGCGCCACTGGCTCGCTTCCCATGGCCCCCGAGGGCCCGAGGGCCTTTGACCCGATTCCTTCAGAGCTTGCATTTGACACGGGACCCAGCCGAGCTGCCAGAATTCGAGCCTTGGCGGGGCTGGCCCATTCGAGAGGTGCACACCTTACGACGCATGCGAGTCAAACTTAACTATGGCATGAGAAGGGTTATCATCTAAGTGTGAAGGCGGAGCGTTTCTCTCTGTCTGTGACTTTATCGCACCGGATGTTGCTGCCACTATTTCGAGGAGGATCCCATGAAGTTTGACCCCAACGGAGGGTTGCCGGATGATTCGACCAGGGAAATCACGCCGGAGACCCAAGTCTTGGCAACATTCCGGATAGGATGTCACGATAAATCCGTGAGAGTCCGTGATCCTTTGATCAGGAAAATCTGTTGTCAAAAGCCGACGAAAAAGTGCCTCACCGCTGGCTCCCGAGCTTCTGAGCTTCTCCGAGCTTCGAACCATGCAGCGTAGACGCCGCGCAGAAGAGGGAGAAATGTGGCTTCCAGCCCCGCCTCTCCTGTCAGATCGGGGAACCCACGGTCGTCGTGAGGGCGCTGCCCGCCGCGGTCGCAACGCTGTTTGCCGATGAAGGTGGCCGCGTTTGCAAGTTCGTAGCGTGTGGCGAACCCTGCACAGTTGCCTGGCCCAGAGGTCTCCTCACGGCGGGTGCCCCAGGATTCGCTTGCGTGTTTGTGGAAGCCTTCATGCTAGCCGTGCCCTTTTCTGTGGCTTTCCTCCCGTGAAAAGGGGAAAGTCTCTAAACCAGGTGCAAAGACACCACCGTGGGAAGGAGCGAAGGCTGAAAGGCCTGGCGCTGTACCACCTGGGCCGAGCATTTTCAAGGCTGTTCCATCGGGTTCAGGCCGAAGAGATGCCCAAAGAGAAGCCCAGGAGTTCCTTTGAGCCCGTGGCGGTGCAGTGAGCTGTGAAGCGCCCGCGAGCAAAGATCTGCGATGTGCTCGGCGCAAAAAAGGCATTTTAGGCTTCACATCGTGTTCCGCCCACCTGCGGAGGTCATGCAAGTTTTCTTGTCGGTTCCGAACGAAGGAAGATGACAGCTGGCGCTTGGCCCATGTTGAACAGAGGGCACGCATGCACGAGCCATGTGTTTACCTTTCAGAGAACACCACAACCACCATGCCAGTGAAGCCTCTGGCATGCTTGGACACGTACGTGCACTCTAGCAGCTTATTATCAAACATTGCAGCACAGCTGCCCCACGGCCACCTGTAGCAGAATGTTGGCATCAATGGCGCTATCCTGAGACCCGTGGCAGACAGGGTGCCCTGACCACATGGCAGCCGAGCTGGCTGCCGAATTCTCAGCAAAAAGCGTTCATGTACTTACAGCCTTCCAAGAACAGACGGTTGTCAAAGGAGCCTGGCAGCGAGGACGGGGAGGTGCACGTGAAAGAAGCGAAGTCACAACCCTGTGCAGTCCAGCCTATAGGGTCGTTGATGCGGCACGGTAGGCCAAGCCACAGCCAGATGCGGAAAAAGTGGAAGACGACCCGAATGCCGAAGAAGATCTGGAGCTGGTTGCCTTGGATGTGGTCAAAGAAGCACCAAAGAAAGAAGAGGCCGTTTTTGCTGGCTTCAATCATTGCTTTGCGTGAAGTCTCCACAGGCCGAAGGAGAGCTGGCAGTCGTGCCGCACAAGGAGGCCACTTGAGTGCGACAGAGCTTTATGTTATATGTTATCGATCTGTGTGAGCCTGTGGTTTCTTCTGCAATTTCCGTGTGACCAGCCGTTATGACTTGCTTCGCAAGTTCACTCCAATGCGCCATCCGGGATTGCCGGCATGTGACGGAGCCCAGTGTCAAAGCTCGCAGGCTGCAAGCAAGGCCGCCAGCCGGAACAGCCTGGTGTTCCTCGGCCGAAGAACTTGGCAGTGAACATAGTGAAAAGGATGTACGGCAACGCAGGCCCCACAGATTTGTGACTAAAGCCCTACTGCGTGAGAACTCCCTCTTAAACCGGAACAACAAAGGGCTTCGTGTCTCACAGGACCAATGTAGCAAACGTGTACATGTTTTCCGTTTTTTGGCGATGACTTTAGCGAGGCCCCTTTTCGTCGAGGAGAGAGGCCATGGTAAAGATGGTGAGCTGCTCCGCGACTTCATCCTTCGCAGGGTGCATCTCAAGCAGGAGATCTCGCTACGTCCGCCTCGGCTTCTGTTGCTGTATCAAGTATCGGATTCATCGCATTGTCGCCCGGTCCCTGCAAGGACTTTCGTGATGCAGCTCTGAAGCGCTGGCTAATTCGCGAAGACTTCTTTGATGAGTTCTTTCCGGTATCGCTGGCATGTCCCAAGCCTTTCCGCATATACTCTGTCGTCCCTGATCCCACATAACTCAGCTTTCCCTTCGAATCTTCCCGACTTGATTGAGAGATTGCACAAGCCCGGCTGGCATCTGCTGAAACTAGCATTGCATTGCGGAGGAGTACGTCAAGCAATATGGCGTGCCAGGCGGGGCATTGCATTTCCATCAGCTCGGTGCGCCCTTTGGTGGCACCGAGGCTCCAGTCAGAGTGAGGCCGAGTCGGAGCGCTTGGAGCAGCTCGCAGGAGACTTACAACCTTTGCCGCCCTTTCAGATCGAGAGGCGCAGGTTGCCGAAGCTCCCAGCCGCTGAGGCAGAGGAGTGTAAGGATATCTTGGTACCCTCAACGCACCCGAAGAAGAAGGCCGCGGGATGCCAGTGAGCCACACGGGCGCTTGAGCATCCCGGGATGCCCGTCGCAATGGTCGGCAGGTAACTGACCTGGAGGCGGTGTCGACTTCCACGGACGTATGGGGCTCTGCATCGTCTCTTAAGTTCAGATCCTGATCTACCGTTGACGGTACCGTTGAGTTGACTGTGCATTCCTGCAGGTTTACCAGCTTCGTGATACGCTGCTAGTTGCCGTGAAGGAGACCATGTCGTTAAGTTAAGCAAAAGGGGACTGTCCCAATCGACCGGATGGGGATGAAGGACCTAACAACTCCGCGGAGGTTCTTAGGACTGGCGTCAAACTGTCTAATGCCAGCAGCCCAGACCCGGAATGAAGAAGAACAACTGAGCAAAGAGTTCAAGCGTCTGAGGTCAGACAAAGCCAAGGACTGGAGCTGGTGCTCCGATGCTTCGCCGCTAGCTGAGCCTCTGAAGGAGCAATTGGGCCTCGCTGAGCAGCGGCGGCTTCGCAAAGTCGAAAGATCCTCAGATGTCCACAACCCCTCACAAACTTGCGGCGCAGATTCTAGCAGTCCCAGTCGCAGGTGTTTCAGTGCCTGAAGGGCATCTGGGAGTCTGGCGTAGGAGGGGAGGCTCAGTCTGACCTACATGCTTGCAGCTGCGCTCGAAAGCGTGGGCCACTGGGAGGTCCTGAAGATGGCCATGGATGCAGTCAGATCTCGGATCGAGAGGACTTGCTGGGGCTCGGACGGGGCAGAGCGCTGCAGATTTCCCAAGCATGCAGGTTCAAGTCCAACGCAGGGGAATCCAGCGACGTCATCCAGGCCATGGCAGGCGGGAGAGTACAGCACGTTCAAGCATGCTGAGATGAGCAAGCAGAATGCATTCTTGCCCTACTTTTGGGTGAACGGCTCAAGTTCCAACGCTCTCCAGGTGAGCGCGCATGCGGCAACAAAGATTGATGTGTGTGTGTGTCATGCTTTAATCGCAATTGTGTGCCGCACCGAAGCATGGAATCCCTCGAGCGCTCGCTCTTTCACCTGCCAAAAGCTGCGGCTCGGAAAGCAATGAGGCGGGCGTAGAAAGCCAGCGAAGTCAAAGTTGCTGTTGACTTGTATCCGGTTGTTTTGTTTGTGTCTTCTCTCTTTGTTTTTCTGTCTCTCCCTGATTCATGCGTTTGCAGTCTGGCTGTCATCTACAGAACTTGCAGATGGCATACAGAAGCGCACTCTTTCGTTGTCCTTTGTTCGTGCGGCTGCTCTTGGACGAAGCTGGCTGTCCGCGTGCGTAATTACTGGGACGAACTTCCAAGTTCATACACAACTAAGGAGCTGCACCTCCACTTGGAGGGAGCGATGCGCACGACTCTCAGTGTCTACACGGGTGATGAGGCAGGTTGCAACCGAGTTACGGTACTATCTTGCCACCTGTCCGCGACGGAAGATACGGAAGTTGAATTATCTTACGCCTGTGAGATCGGCTTCGGTGAGGTCCGGAAACACTGACGGAGCTTTGCCGAAAGTACGACATAGAGCGTCCACCAGACACGTGGCACACTTACTGGTACTCGTACGGCCAAATAACATCGCAGTGGAGAGAAGTTCTGTCCGGGCCAGCAAAATCTTTCCGAGGCAAGGGAAGTCATTTCCGGACTTCGATCCGCTCCTGGACTGCAGCTCAGGCTGCTCTGTTTCGATCCATCACACACACCAACACGCGCCGAAGGTTCGCGCGCTGCTACATCGCGGTCTGCGAGTGTCTGCGGGAGGAGGAGGATCTCAGACGTTTGGTGCGTGAAGTTGCTGAGGATTCGGCAAAGTCAGGTGCTCCAGTGGCACTAGCGAAGAGGTTTATCGCAAATGCTTCAGCCTTCGAAATAGGTTTGGACACGTCTGGAATGCTAGGTGCCTTGTGGATAGAACCTGCTCTGTCTCTGGAGCTCTATGCAGAGCGACTGGGCGGACTGCCTAAACTTTAGCATCGTGCATCACCGGCCCGACGGCAGGCTGCCGTAGAGTAGCCCAACTGGCTCAGGTGGTCTCGAGAAGACCTTGCGGATGCTGATGGCTGCGGCAGAAAATGCGGAGGATCTGACAGGCGTTGCCATGGGCTCCGCGTCCATGTCGAGCGGCTATTGCTTTGCAGAACCATCCATGCTGATTTTGGGAAGCAAAGGCTTCATCGTTTCAGCCGAGCGGCACTTGCCGATAGCGAGGGCTGACAAGCTGGCCTCAACCGCAGCTCTTCTGCAGCGCCACAACTTGAGCATGCTGCAGCCAAAGTCCCCTCCATTCCCTGCATGTTCGTAGATTCGTAGAATTTTCTTCCGATTCCAGCATATAAGCCTGACGATATCACTCGCAATGCTCTTAGCGGCTCAGATCTGTTAACAGAAGCCGCCCCACCATTCCGCGAGTTGAGGTCAGGAATTTGGTGGAAAGCAGCGCTGCCAAGATCAAAGGAAGACCAGCCATTATTGGCTTTGGGTTGCATGGTGCCGAGGTCTGCTGTCTTGTATTAAGTAGAATGCGCAACCGCTTCTTCAATGACATTCGCACACGGGCAATTGCATTGGCAGAGCCGGAGCCGTGAAGTCCAAGTTCTGATTTGATAAGTCGCTTGGTCGACTAGCCAAGACCTGCGACAAGGATCAGAGTCAGGGTGCGTTGCTTCCTGCTCCGGGATCAAGCAGTGATCGATCACACAGCCAGCGAGGATAATCTTTACAACTCTTCTAGAACGGGCCTTGGCGTGCTCTCGGCCTCCTATATACCCTCTCCGCAAGGCTGGAAATCCACCCGAGCCGTGGAAGGAGGCCTTCCAGTCCGCCTGTGCTTCCGGCATCGCCGCTCTGCCACATGCCGGAGAATTTCCACCGTCTCCCGAGCCGGGAGCTGGGGCTGCAAGTGCGAGAGCCTTAGTCATGAGGCCTTCTGCCGGCGGAGACTCGGGACATGTCGGAACCCTTGCCGGAACCCTTGGGCCGCGGAATGAGGTTCGCTTCTGCGTGGACGTGTTGGGAGCCCGTCGGATAGCACATGGGGTTCTGGCAGCTGACGACGGCACCCTCATCGCCCACCTGGCAAACCTCAAGGTGTGCTCGGAGCCCGGCAACTCCAACACGTTCACGGAATCACATTCTGAAAGCCAGCCGTATAGTTATGTGCACAGCACTGCATTCAGCACTTCATCGCATGCGGGCTCGGGCAGAGGTCTTGATATTTGCCCGACAAGCAACCAGCTGCTCGGCACAGCTGGCGGACCTGGTCTACAGTCGCCGCTCAAGCAGTTTCTTGAGGCGGGTGTGCCAAGGCCCCAGCACTCGCAGTCTCCGGCAGTTGCTGCCTGCGCAACTGAAGTTTTTTTTTGTGCAGATGCTGTGCGTTGGATCGCAGTTCTGAGCAGCGGATCGAGCGTGATCTCTCATGGGCGGAAGTCAATGTCGGTGTCGGTGCAGGCATCTGCCTTAAGCGTGTCGTGCACTGCATCGCTAGCTCTGACTCTCAACGCTGGCGTCGCGCGTCGCGCGCGCAGAGGGGAGGTGCTTTTTCGGAAGCTCCCAGGCCGAGGCAAGCGAAAGGCGCAGAGGCGAACACTCCAAGAAATTCCAGCGCGCCTTTCATCGACAGGCGGTAATGTGCGTTACCAGCAAGCAGTGGTTCTTGAAGTCTGGCTTAGAAGATGGGGGTGACATGAAAGTCAGGCCTTGCACCATCAACTCTGATGACCCTTTGCTGTTTGGATGCTCCTTACTTGGAGAATATGAACGCTGTCGGCGAGAGCTCCTTGGTGAAGTCCAGGATCCTAACTCCTGAAGCGCCGTGAAGCGGAAGCCTGCACAGTTCAAAGGCTGAAGATGCCTGACGAGGAATTGGCGAAGTGCGCTGCGGCTTGGCAGGTCTATAGTAGTATAGTCGAATAGCTACCATCTTTAGACACATTGCAATGACTCACGTGCGCCAACAGGCTGCATCCTTTGAGCACTCCCGGGCGCCAAGCGCCCTCAAGCAGAAGGGCTTGGAGGACATAGAGGCACAAAACAAGCTGGGCCGAGCAGGTTTTGCCAGCCACCCATAGGCATCTCAGAGCATGTCAAAGTCAGAAGCGTGATGTTGATCAGCTGCCTAAGCACACTCCTGCTACATGCATCGCAACAGAGAAGATGATCGAAGGATTGCCCGAAAAGACAGGTGGCATGGCCGTCCCTACAGATCTAAATCAGGACGGTAGCTTCATGCAGCAATGGCGAACATGTTTGCTGGAAGCCCGAGATGCTGACAGGGTACTCAAGTGGTAAGTGATACCACTATGCTGCGAGGCAATACATACCGATGAACACATAACGCTGCACGCGCTCTCGTTACAGCGAACTCTCAAGAGAAGGCGCTACCACCGCCATGCCCAAGTATAATTTCGAGCGGGCAGGCATGTGACGTAGGTCAGCTCGAATCCAGGGTCCGGAGCAAGAAGGGCCAGAGCTGTTCCGGCAGGTGTGGCTGCAGAACAAAAGCAGCAGCTTGCGGGAAGGCACCGAGACTGCATGAAGATGCGCCAGTGCCATTGAAAGCTACCACGAGTCCCCAATCAATGCTCTCGCGAGGCCTGCCGGGCAAGCGAAGCCACGGTGATGCTTTTGCGGATCGGGCGTAACCGACAAAAAAGCAGTGCGTGAAAGAATCGCCCGCTCGCGCACTTTCGAGCCTCCATGCTGACCTGTACAAAACAAAGTGCCAGAAACACGGACCGCCCTGGCAGGACAGGAGTGGGCACAACTGGAGGTCGCACGCCGAACATCTACTCAGCTGGCTGTTGCGTGTGTCCTTTCCTCCAAAGGACTTGGTCCAGACCATAGATGAGCAGGAGCAGGCGAGAAGTGACAAGCGCCTTTCTCATAGCAGAATGAGTACCGTTTGCAGCCAAAGGCAGGAGGACACCGAGGGCCTTTGGGTCCTGTGGAGGGCCGACGAAACATGGCAGCATTGGTGTGGAGGGCTGAAATGAGGTGACCTTCCCCGTGTCAAGTTTGGGTCTCTGGGTGTGATCAGCTAGTCGAGCTTCCATGGCAGTTTTCGCAGCTTTGCCTTGGGGGGCCCTCGACCGGAGCGGTTTCCTCGTACATGCGCTCCGGAGTGGCTTGCTGGTGGAGTTTGCAAGTCTTGTCCCCAAGTCCCCTATCCATTGAGATCTTCTGAGCAATCCAGTGATTTTCTACACGCACGTCCCATGGCCGTCGGGATGCCTGCTTCGCTTTGCTCGGACTCGGTCCATAGGGTACTTGGCAAAGTGGCTTTTGATAATTTTACGGAGCTCCAACAGGAAAGGGGACCCTTCGTTGCCCGGAAGCATGAGCATGTTTGCAGCAGCTTCTTGAGGTACAAAGGTTGTCATCGATCGTGCAGATGCCCCGGACACTTGTAGCTTGACAGTGGAGTCTCTCTGGCACAAATTCCTATGTTGCGCAGGCATTGGATGCCTTGGAGGGCCAGGGCACCCTGCGCTCCGGCCTCACTGTACGAAAGCCCCTGTCTCGACTTGCGCAGTGCAAGAGTTTGCGGCTCAGGCGAGGTGATCGAGTGGATTGAGAAGAATCCAAAGGAGCTCGAAGAGCTCCGAGAAGCAAAGCTGAATCGGACTGTTTGCCCTTTCATATCTGGTTCTGAGCAGAGTGTTGCTCAGACAGGTTCTTTAATGGGAATTTATTCGGGTCATGCGGGCAGGAACATACGAGACGGCCGGCGGAAGCCTGTTTCCTGGCTGACGAGCAAGATGCGCTCATGCTTGTTCTTTGTGGTCAGGCCGTAAAGCAGAGTCGCACAAACCAAGGTGTGGCATTCGACCGCCGCTCGCATAAGCAGAAGCGTTTCCAGAGTGTTTTGTTTGAACTGAGCTGTCAAGGTTGGTTCGACGATCGCCACCTTTCGTAAAGTTCCCCGAGCTGGCCCGCAGATGTCCTAAGTTGCATTTAAGACCGATCTTGACTCCGCTCATACTCTTTCGCGAGAGAACACGAGGCCAACGCGGTACCTGAGCTCCAAAGCACCTGAGCCAGAGGACGAAAGAGCTGTTGCATTGTGCACTTCTTGGGATTGAAGGTGAGCCCTCGCAAGACACAAGGTCTCAGTACCCCGAGGAGCGCCGAGAATTTAACGAAAGAGACCAGCAACCTCCACACTCCCATGAGCCCAGGATGCAGCCAACATGCATGAAAGGCCCATACCTTCACCCCCCGTAGACATCATCCGCTACCGATCCGGCATCATGCTGCAACGTGCAGATGGAACCACCACCTGCTGCCGCAGCTGCTCCTGCTACTCACCACTCCTGTACCGGAAAGGAATGACCATGATCGGTTTTGTATCGAAACACGCAGTTGTTTTCGCTAGTGAGTGGCAGCAGAGCCGAAGCCGACGATGCTGCTACAACTACCGGGTTTCTGAAAGCAGAAGCCAAACAAGGCAAACGGTGTGAGAAAGGATGCTCACGGACCCGCATTAAAAAGTGTAAAGCTTCATATGGCTTAGCGTAGAGTGTAGAGTTCGGACCGAAAAGCCCCATGATTTCTGTATTTGGACCCTCTATGCCACTCCATCTACTGATTAAGAAACAGTAACACTGGCGCTCCTCGGAACTCGGACTTGTTAACCGAAGATCTCGCCGTGGCGGTGGTGGGGGTGGCGGCGGTGGAGGTGCTGGTGGTGGCGGCGGCGGTGGCGGTGGCGGCGGTGGCGGGCGGGGTGGGGGCAGTGGCGGATGGTGGCGGCTGCGGTGGTAGTGGTGGTGATGATGGCGGGGGTGATTGCATTGCAAAGCATGGTAGCCCAGTTATCATCATCACCAACAGCAATCTCAGCCTTCATGACCCTCATTACCGCCATCACAACCATCATCATCATCACCACGATGTCCACTATGATCATCAACATCATCATTATCATCATCACCATCATCCTATCATTGGTGGCTTGCTTTTGTTCTTCTTCATCTGGATTACCAGGAGCCGATGGCCATTCAGGATGCACCTGCGGCGAAAACGAGGCCGAAGCCTTCCAGTTGATGAAGCAACACTGAACTCGGGCAACCCAGCTCCCGGGCGCGCAGGTCCAAGCGCGCTGCGAAACAGGTTGCGGAGGACAGAAGCCGGCTTCTCCTGTCCTGAGAGGTGTCCAGTTTCCACAAGCCTGCTAGGGCGGCGATGATTCTGCTGGCCAAAGTGCTCCGAAGCCCAAAAGGATTCGAAAGGCCAAGGCCCCGCTCTCTGCAAGCACTTCTCATGAAGTTGTCTTAAGAGAGCTCAGTGAGCCGAAAGGTTTCGAGATCTTCTAGCAGCTGGCATCTGACACTGAGTGTATTCTGCCAGGCCAAGGCTCAAGCTGCCCCAGCAGAATCATCCGGAGAGCCCAAGGATACGGTTCCTCTGAGGACTGGAGCCAGAGGGGTAAGCTTTTCTCGCCTGAGATATGTTTCAGAGCGCCCTGCTTGACAAGGCCTGGGCAAGCTGAGGACCCCAGCGGGCCACTGGAAAGCACAATGCGGAATCCATTTTGAGACTTTGCTACAGCGCAGCACTCTAGGAATCTCACGAGATTTTGAGGCTAGGTTGAAAAGTGACATGAAGCCGCAGAGTGGCAGCCATGCATCGCCCCAGGTAATGGATAATGAGAGCACACTTAGACTCAAGCCTTTCCACAGAGTGGAAGCGCGTTGTAAGATAATTCATGCCCCGAAAGTGGATGAGCCACTCAGCTTGTCGCTTGCATCAGTGTACAGCGCGAGGCATTTCTTTAAAAACTCTGTGAAATCGGTTGCGGATGGTTGCGGGTTGGTTCTCAGTCTGTATGTCTTGCCAGACTTCTAGGGCTTGTCTGCTCTGCGAGCAAAGACGCCGTCTCCTGCCCATTTGGGGGGGTCGTAGGCAAAGATCTGCCGGGCCCAGTTCCTGACCATGGCTCCTTCGTACCTTGGCGTCCCATGCACCATGGCTCTGGCGTATGCCACGTGCAGCAACCACCAGTCACGGTTGGAGCCGCCGCCCGCCTTCGGCGGATTTGGCGACCTCGGAGAGGGTAAGTCTGAAACTATGCCAGAGACTGATTTGGGTGGTATGGCAATCCTGGAGCCAAGAACGAGAACGGAGCCCAACCGTGGGCCATCTGTGCAAAACTACGGTATTGCCACTCTGATACTGCTTCATCGCCACCGACGAAGAGCTTTGGCTCCCTTTCAGGTTCATCGAGCGACTCCGAAATGAAGATCGGCGATGCCACAAGGTGTAGGAAGAGCGACCACGACTTGCTCAAGGAGACGGAAACGGCCAAGTCCATGTGCTTTGGAAAGCTGAAGGAGCTCCACGACTTGCAGGCACAGCTGGGTCAATGTGTCGTAGGTGGAGAGCGAGCCCCAGGCTTTGCAGAGCATTCAGCATCAGTCAGAGGAGCGTGAGAAGACGAAAGCCAAGAAGAAGGCCCATTGCTTCTCCGAGCAGCGGCAGGGGCAGTTCTGGCGCCAGTATATCTCCGACTTGAAGGAGGAGCTTTTGCCAGAAATTGGAAGTCTTTGCCTCTCTTGCATAGCGAAGTCCAAGGGAGCTCCTATCCAGATGCCTGACTTCAATGCTCCAGACTTCACGCGGCGACACGTTCGACCTGCGCGTTGCAAAACATCAAAGCGGACATCAGGACTCTTGAAGAAGCCAAGCTAAAGATGGATCAAGCACGCACAAAACACACAACAACGGCGCACACACAAACACGCCCACAGACAAGAGGAGCTCGCTGAAGCCATGATCAGAGGCACAAGTCCTGACAGTCTTCTTTGAAGAAGTTTCTCATTCAGCGGAGTCCGAGGTTCAATTCACCTTTCAAGACATGGACTGGCTGTTGAAGTTTTGCCGTCTTGCAGAGCACCAGCTTGAATGCCACTCTGCCCAAAATCTCTGATTCATTGGATGGAATGCCTCCAAAGAAATAGGCTGAGGTGGGGGGGGCGGTATCCTCGTGCAGCCACGAACCCCATGATCTGACAATTTGTCAAGCTTGCGGTGCTGTGACTTGTATTCCGTGGCTCGAGAACTCTCTACATCGATTGCCATAGCTCGAGCTGCTGCAGCTACTGTTGGCAACCCGACCCGACATAGTCGACACGTGACATCAGCAGGAAGATTCGCATGTACCTATAGCCATGCGACCTTACCATGGCCAAGGCACGATTTTTTCTTTGCACGAGTGAAAATCCCAGCTTGGTCACGTTCGAACACGGAGGCGACGAAAGCCCGGCAATCTGGATACGGTGCCGAATCGCAGTTGGAAGCAGAGGCAAAGCGTCTGTCGTCGCCTTTTCCTTGATTCCGACAAGCCTTGGGGGGGCAGGTCGCAAGACTTCGCAATGCGTCTTCTCCTTGGCCGAGGCTTCGGTCTGCTTCGATTGCCTTCTGGAGCACTGCAGGCTGGCAGATGCAGAGCGACAGAAGGCCGATCTTCAGACGCAGGCCACTGCTTCGTCATTAGCCGGCGCACTGCAGAACTGCTTATCTTCGTCCCCTGCATGCATTGAGCTAGCATGCTCCCAGTCTCGTCTACATTGAATATTTGCTAGTCAGGGCACCTTTTGTCAATTTCCCACAGTTTCGGTGGTTGCCAAAGCATCTGCTGGCGCGTCCACACAGCCTTTTCTGTGGGCTTCGGTGGCTCTTCCACCTTTCCTTGATGTGCCTCCTTCGCTGCCTCGGGTCTCCCTTTGGGGCGCTTGCTGGTGTGGTGCACATGTTTTTTTCTCCCGCATTGGTTGGTCTTTTTCTTTTCAACCTGCTTGATGTTGATTTCGGCTGCTTTGGTTTTGACCGGGGTTCCACCGGTCTCTTTAGCATCCCGACATTCCGGAAGGTGCTCTTCCGATGACGACTTGACGCAGTCAGGGAATCACTTTTTTCTCGAACGCACTGCTCTGTGAGGCAGTTCTTTTTCATACAGCGGCAACACCCCAGCTTGGGCGCCCTTCTGGGCCTGATACGTTGCTTCCAACCCCCGCTTCAGCGAGAGATAGCTTGTTGCAGCTACAACTAAACAGTAGTAATTAATAAGCATCTGAGCCGAAGCATGGTAAGTAGCTTTATGGAAGTTCTCCCTGTGGCACGGATCAAGTTCAAGCAGGTGGAAGGTCAGGCATTGCCTTTAACTCCCGGACCATCCGCGAACAGTCTAGTGATGACTAGTTGGAGGCATTGCCCTAGTTGCTCCACGAAGCACTCCATCCAACCGGGAGACCAGCAGACTGCAGCACAGAACATGTCCCCTTTGTCTGCCAGGTTGAAGATCTCCGCGGAGAGGTTCCGTTACTCTGGGGTTGCTGAAGCTTAACAAACATGCTGCAACACTATTACACCGAGCTTATGGGATTGTTCAAATATTGCATGGGGGTGCACTGTGTGATTTTGAGGGCTTGAGGCAAAGACGTGAGAGGTGAATGCAGTGAATACTTGGCTTGGGTTCCAGTTTGATTTGGATTGAGTTTTCAGCCTGCTGTTGCTTATGCTCCACTGCTTCGACCGCGTGGTGATGGCAGCCGTTGTCTTCGTAGCAGCAGCAGCAGCAGCAGCAGCAATAGCAGCAGCTGTTTCTTTTGTGTTTGTGTTGTCATTATTATTGCTGCTGCTGATGCTGCTGCTGCTGCTGCTGCTCTGACTTTGGCTGTGGCTGCTGTTGCTGTTGTTAAGAGCAGGCGGAGGCCGAGACGGAGGCGGAGGAGGGGTAGCAGTAGCAGAGGCAGTAGTAGTACCGGTGGTGGTGGTGGTGGTGGTGGCGGCGGCGGCGGCGGTGGTGGTGGTGTTCGTGATGGTGGTGGTGGTGGTGGTGGTGGTGGTGGTCGTGGTGGTGGTGGTGGTGGTCGTGGTAGTGGTCGTGGTAGTGGTGGTGGTGGTGGCAGTGGCAGTGATAGTAGCAGTAGCAGTAGCAGTAGCAGTAGCAGTAGGAGTAGTAGTAGTAGTAGTAGAAGCAGTCGTAGAAGAAGTAGGAGTAGTAGTAGTAGTAGTACTACTACTACTACTACTACTACTCCTCCTACTGCTGCTGCCACTGCTACTACT